ACTCCTGGATATCCTTGCTGTCTAGTGAATTGTCTAATCCCTTTTTGGCTCTTGCTAAATTTTGATCTATATTTTTGTTGAAGTCTCCCATAACACCCCTTTTCTAAGGTAAACCTCACCATTTCTAAGGTGAACAGTCCCAGGTCTTTCTTCCTCCCAAACTTCCTATCCTTTTCACTACCCCTCTGACTGCCACAGCTTTCTCCTTCTGCTGACTGTGTATAGCACACAAAATGAGCTCTAGGTTTATATGTTTTCAGTATTACTCTCCATCTTCTTCCTTATGCATCCTAATTACTTTCTCCTGTTTGAATCCATTGAGTAGCCCCTTAACTCTCCTTTGACACTAGCAACATACTTCCTGGAAGAAATTCCTCCTGCTACCCCAGCAGTTCCTACTGGTAAAATGACACTGGCTTACAGAATTAGACAGCGTGTTATATGAGAAAAGCATCTAGTGAGAACAGGAGAAGACCTAGCTTGGCTCCCCAATGCTAATGGCAGAGAGCATTTAGCAAGAACAGGAGAAGACCTAGCTTGGCTCCGCAATGCTGATGGCAGCAAGAAAGTATAGTATTTTTAGGGAAGGAGTCGAGACTAGAGCAGGGAGGGGTACTCCTCTTCCTTGGCACAAGCAGTAGGCACACTGACGAATACTGATAAACTTTGCCATGGATCCTAATGAGGTAATTAAAGAAATAAGACTCCTGAAAAAGAAGGGTCCAAATAAAATAGCATTCTTGAGAAGAGACTTTCCAGCATTACTGTTCAACCTCTACTGTTAAGCCACTGTGAGTTCCTCAGGAGAAAAGGTACTAAAGAAGAGCAAAACATCACTGCTATATTGACGTGACAAAGAAATTACCTTTAACAAATGAATCTAGTGACTTTAAAGACCATCTTTGTATAGAGTTCTTTGCAGGCTTTTAAAAGGCTCTGGACTACCAAAGAGAGCCCTGGACAAGCATGTGCTGATCCGTACTACCACGTGAAAGACTAAGACTGGAGAAAGAATCTCAGTTCTTAAGCTTTTCTGCTGGGGAGCTACTTTCAGGGTCCAGGATCACAGGTTGGAAGGAACCTCAGGAAGTCTCTGGTCCAACCTCTTGCTCAAAGCAAGGTCAGCTATGAAATCAGACCAGGCTGCTGAGGGCTTTATCCAGTTAGGTCTTGAAAACCTTCAGGGATGGAGGCTCCACAACTTCTTTGGGCAATCTGCCCTACTGCCTGGCTGTTCCCACACAGAAATTTCTTTCTGTATATCCAGTCTGAACCTCTCTTGTTTCAGTTTATGCCCATTGTCCCTTGTCCTCTCACCACACATTACTGTGGAGCCTGGCTCCATCTCCTTGATAAACCCCGGTAGGTTTTGGAAGACTGCTATTATGTCCTCCCAAAGTGTTATCTTATCCAGACTGAACATATCCAGTTCCCTGAGCCTCTCACTCAGCATGAAAGCTTAAAAAAAAAAAAAAAGAAAAAAGAAAAAAGAAAAACCATAACAGTACGTCGAAGGATAATGCAAATTCAAGTATTTAATAGGGAAGTGATGACCAGTGAACAGCCTATGCAAAATTTAACAGACAGGACATGCATGGCACTGATCTCTCTGAATGCTAATCAAAATTAATAAAATCAGCACCTTGCAGAACTAAACCCTACACCTACACTACGAAAAAACAATATGTTTTCTGTGCTTACAATGAGTGCTTTTATCAAGAGTTGTATGAAGTGCTCTAATAGGCAAACTGAATTAGCATTAGCTGTGTACCTACTAAAAAGTCACACGGTGCATTTCATTAATGTATTAGGTATGCTCTAAAATAGAACTTGGAACGAACAGCAGACCTCAAGGGAAGAAAAGTAAATGAGTAACTGTTCCAAGGGTATTATGACATTAGTTTGTAAAAACAATAATAAACCATGGGCCAAGATGCACAACAGATGGATAGGTAAAACTTCTTGAGTATTTTAAGATATTTAATTATTTAATTTATGATAATTTAATTCAATTATTTAATTCACGTTCACTCTTTGGGATCATTTGATTTGTACACCAAAGGGCAACACGAGGCCTTTATATAAGCATAAGACTGGATTTTCATTTGCAATAGCATATGGTAACCTTTGCTAAGCTTCTACAACAGGTGCACTATTTTATGAGGTAACATTACCTGTCCCTTTAATGGGTAAAGTCATAACGCAATAAAATTGTCTCCAAAGTAAATGGGACCACTCATTCACTTATTTTTATTAAAAAGTGGAGGCAGCAAGCTGCTCGCATATAGGTGACTATGAATAACAAATTATGGTCATGTATTCCTTTAATTTATGCCCCAGTATCACTGGAATTTAGATATTCAAGGTGAAGGTCATGCATTTAATCTCTACATGCAGACACCATGGCTGTTGGATAGCTACAATTTATTACCAAATACCACAATCAGTGCTGAGTGGCTTGAGCTCATCCACTTCTCTGACTAGCTTATCTAGCACTGTAGAGTACATAATATGTCACTGTAGTGACACATGAAGATGTAAGTCCTCATGTGCTTGGCTTAGGAAGCCTAAAGTCTGCACGCTGAATTAACCCTTTGTTCTAACAACCCTGAAGCTCCAGAGTTCACACTTACTAATAACACGCACTTTGCTACAGCTCTGGTTACAACTACTCATTTAAGTAAATGGCATAACACAAGGAAGTAATAGAAACAATATCTATTTTGATTCTTTAGCATGCCTAGCCTGAATAAATCATTTTAAAATGGCTGAACAAATTCAGCTCAAACCAAGTGCTTACACAGTTAATAAACTGATATACCTTCTTTCCTGGCATGGCCATCATAGGGACAAATTCATCGCTGGAGAATTCCATTTGAATTATTTTCATCTATGGAATTAAAACAAGGGTATATATGGCCTGTGGGCTAGTTTTGCAAGATATCGACTGCATTAGAACTACCCTCTGATTTTGCAGTCTTCCATTTTGCCTAAGACTGTGTAGCAGATTTCAATACTCCGCTTCCATAGTGGGAAAAATCAGAACACAATGCTGGGAGCGCTAGGCCTGTCAGCAGCGATCAGTGCAATAGGTGGACCAGGCAGGATTGTAGAAACCAGAGGCACAATTCACTTGTTATATATAATATTCCTTTAAACAGGCCCAGGAAGAGAGAGGGCTGACGGTGAGCTGAAAATGTTTCAAGGGGAAAGGAAGAGTTTGGACTAAAAGCAGGAAATGGCAAAGGGGAAGATGAAGGCATAAGAAGCTGTAATAATGCTGATGCTTACTGATACCTTTATAATTTTATTATTTTTTACAGAAGTATCTTAATAATCAAATAGCATTTGGTCTTTCCCTTTGATATGTGCTCTGCAAATACACAGTGACAGCCACAACCCTGAAGAGCTTACAGTCTGAACAGATGAGGCAAATAAAGGGTAAAGGGCCCAGACAGCACTGACTTGCCCAAGGCTACACCACTTGCCATTGACAAGAGCGTACAGATCTTCTACTGCTGTAGCTATTGCTTCATGCTGTCTTCTCTGCAGAAAAAAGTTGGGTTTTGTGCATGTGTAAGGAATCCTGTGAGACGTCATTGCTGCTTTGAGCAAACGGGCAGGTCTATGGCTTGTTCGCTGCTTGTTTTTTGCATGGCCATGCATACATAGCATTGCTGTCAGGTACTAGATTATGCCCCTGGAGACTGAAGTCCAGCCCTCTTTCCCAGTCACACAACAGGTACAACCAAAATGGTATAAAACGTGACAGCCTGTCTCACTCCTTGACACAACTGCATTCTGGCCCTCAGCATTCTGGCTAGGGAAAACCACTCAGGCGTTTTCCACGAGCAGTTTTAGATCTTCTGCCATGACTGGTCTGACAGTCTATAGTTGCAGAGCGTGCAGAAGGGACTGACTGGAGCATCCTGAGGTCTGACACTCACCTATTCCAAACCTGCTATCATCAGTAGCACCCGCACCGCTGCTAGATACACATGCAAAAGAGCAAAGTTGGTAAGACGCAGGGTGCAAGGAAAGTAACGCTCTAGTCAGTGGCAGAGAGGAGGCGGGGTTACACCTGTTAGTTACATACCTGTTGTGCTCGTATTCCATCTGTTATAGTTACCAAAGGAGAGCAAATAACTCAGTCTTATTTTTTCTCAGCTGTAAACTTTGGCAACATGCTGCAGCTGAGAAGTTCACAGTCAGCCCAGCACAGACATTCTTCAAAACCCAAGAATTTCTCTTTGTGCAGCTGTTCCACAGGGCATAAAGTTGCTATGATGTTCCCCTAGTCTAACTGAAAAGCACCCTGTGCCCTCTGTCTTCAGGAGCAAGACTTTTTTTTTTTAATCCCCAGATCAGCCTCACTAAGCACAAGAACATAAACATGACACTTTTAAAAGGATAGCTCCCACAGGTGCTCATTTCTCACGTCAGCATTCACTACTGACAACTCCTCTTCCACTAACTAAAACCATTTCTGAAACTACTCAAAACCTCAAAATACACGTTACTGGGTTTTACCCACAGTCTATTTTAGTACAACGAAGACATAAAACCTGTAATGAACTCCTAGGCATAAAAAAGCATGATGCTGCCTGCCAGCAGACCATGCCCTTGCAGTTTTTTTTTTAAAACTCACTGAGTGTCCTGTGTAACAAATAAACGGTAAGAAATCCCCTCGATGAAATTATACACCTTCCCTTCCCCCATTCTCCGTCCTTACTCATTATTTCTTTTCCTATGCCGTCTGCAATGAAACAGCATAGAAAGAGACAGGAATCACACACATCCTGCTTCTGAATCTCAAACAATAAACCGCGTGGAGACTCCTTCACAGGGCATAAATAAGAAACGGGGGAGCATTAAAATCGGCATATACAAAGCAGTAAACCACGGTTTTCCCTGTTCGCCAGGGACACGTCCCCCCTGCTACTCCGCATCCCCCGCAGGATGGGTGAGGGGATTTCTGGCAGGGAACCGGTCCCCCTTACCTTGATCATGCTGGCAAACGGGGGTTATCCCCCAGCCGCCGCGGAGCGCGCTCTTCGCAG